ATTGTTTTTTATCACCACCGCCAACTCTTAATGCTTCATAATGGAGGAACTGTCCTGTTCATCTGTCTTCAGCTCCCAGCACAGTAACAGTAACTGAAAAGCGTCTCCCCTGGCTAACCCGTGTTAATGCTGTAGAGCTCTTACGTACCAGGAACAACCACAGACAACCCCACTGGCCTGATACAATAACCAGCTCTGTGAACACATTTCAGTGACCCCTGTGTGATTTTTTTATAATCCCACCCTTAACTAGCTACTTGAACTTTTTGAGTTATTTCCCAGAAATGGCAGAATTTCTGCAAAACAAAGGAGTTGAGATTCCAAAGGGTCCTGGGCAGGCTTCCTGACCCAAGACTCACCATCCCCACAACCTTCCCCAGTGCACGTCTCTTGTATTCTCCAGAAGAGGAATTTAAGGTTGCTTCTCCTATCCTCCTGAGGATAACCAAGGATGACATCTGTCTTTTGTCTTTTGTATTAAAAAATTCCTTTCATCCTTGGCAATCCTCAGTATCTCAATAATTAGTTCTCTGTGTAGCAAGTTTCATATATACCATAATAAATTACAAATTGGTTAAAAAGTGACAAACTAGAATAGTTTAAAAACAACTTTCACCTAGATGAATTTTTTTAAAGGGAGTATCTTACTTTAAAGGATTAGGAAGGGTGTTTGAACAACAATTATTGGCATTCCCAGAGTAATGAAAAGAAGATAGACCTACAATTTCATAAATTACTGATGGAATGTGGTTGAAAGTTTTTTGGCCATTTAGCACTTTTAAAGGAGCAAGTTTCCCCCCACCAAAAAAACTGTCTTCCCTTAGCAGTACTATTGCAAACAAAGGAAAAATGACATTTCTGAAATATTTCCGCACCAAATTTGAAGTGAGTGGGATCTGGGAGCAAACATTTGTAATGGATGGCAAAAATTATTTTGCCTGACCCCAAAAAGAGAAACTGAGGGAATGTACTCTTGCCCTGCAGGGGTGAGGGACTCAGTCCCAGCTGTGACAGGCACTCCCAGAATTTTCTGCCACAGACAGCATTTTAAATGACTGGTATTGGGCCAAGTGAAGACTCAGAGTGTATGACTGTTCCCAGGGTTGTGGGCAATGACTGTTTTCTCTGGGAAGCAGATTTCTTCCCCTTCCTGAGGGAGAAATTCAATTATTTTCTGTCTAGTTCTCACTCAGGAGAGGGCCAACAAATCATCCTGGGCCCCTGAGGCTTCCCTTGCTGTACGGGAAGTTCAGACGCAGTGGCGAGTCTCTCCCAAGGAGCTACCCAAGCACTGCTGGTCTAAACCGCAGTATGAGAAGAACTGCATAAGGAGAAAATGTCCTAATGTCCAGCAGTCTTCTGCTTTTATCTCACTGGCCAGAACTGTCTCACTCTACCAGGAGCTGCAAGGGAAGCTGGGTTGACTGCTACCCTGAACAAAACCACGATTTCATTGGTGAGGAAGATGAGAATGGATATAGAATAGGAAAACAGCCGTGTCTCATGCATCCCAGGCACTGAGAACCACAGTGCCAGCCCTCACAAATAGGTGGAGGAAAGAGATAAACCAGCAATTACCATAACGGTATGATGGAGATCATGATAGAGGTGTTATCTTGCTGAAAGACTTGATAGCTGAGACCTGAAGTGTGAGTAGGAGTTGGCCAGGGAAGACAGGACACACAGAAGTTCAGAGGTTAAGACTGGGTCTTGGCCGGGAGCGGTGGCTCAAGCCTATGATCCTAATGTGAGGCCTCTGAGAGGCCAAAGCAGGAGGATGGCTCAAGGTCAGAAGTTGGAAACCTGAGCAAGAGCGAGACCCTGTCTCTATTAAAAATAGAAAGAAATTAAATGGCCAACTAAAAATATATAGAAAAAATTAGCCGGGCATGGTGGCGCATGCCTGTAGTCCCAGCTACTTGGAAGGCTGAGACAGAAGGATCGCTTGAGTCCAGGAGTTTAAGGTTGCTATGAGCTAGGCTGACGCCATGGAACTCTAGCCTGAGCAGCACAGTGAGAGTGTGTCTCAAAACAGAAACAAATAAACAAAAAAAACAAAAGCAAAAAATAGTTTGGGGCCGGGCGCTGTGGCTCACGCCTGTAATCCTAGCTCTTGGGAGGCCGAGGCGGGCGGATTGCTCAAGGTCAGGAGTTCGAAACCAGCCCCGAGCAGAGCGAGACCCGTCCTACTTATAAATAAAAAGAAATTAATTGGCCCAACTGATATATATACTAAAAATTACCCACCCCCACCCGGGGCCTAAGGTGGCACCATGCCTGTAACACACACAAAAGAGGGAGACAAGGAACAATCGAGCCCAGGCAGTTTGGACATGTGAGCTAAACAGACACACAACACAACACAATCTAGCCTAGGGCAAAGCGAAACAACACAACAAATAGTTGGGCCAAATATAGCCAGACCCCCATCTCTACAAAAAAACTAAAAAAAGCATGGTGGGGCAACCTGTAGTCTCAGCCACTCAGGAGGCTGAGGTGGGAGGATTGCTTGAGCCCAGAAGTTCGAGGCTGCAGCAAGCTATGATCAGCCACTGGACTCCAGCCTGGGTGATGAGACCCTGTCTCTAAAGCTAAACAAATAAAATTAAATAGGGACCACGTTTCATTAACCTGCCAGTTTACAAGATTAGAAATGTATCATTCCTGGAAATGTGGCACATCAGCAGGGTCTACTGCAGTAGCACTGAGTATATTATTACTCTGTTTCCCAAATTGCTATTCCTGGAACACAACTTATAAAAGAGAACACAACTTATAAAACTTTTAGAAAACTCTTTTTTTTTGCTACTGCACCTATTTTGTACATTCTAATCTCAAATTGGCTTTTCAAAGGGCCAATTAAAATATAATATTCTCCAATCAAAATAGTTTACAACCCACTCTTCACCCACATTCCTAATTTTGTTTTTGCATTGAACTTTATCACATTTCAGTATACTATATAATTTATTTCTTTAGTATTATCTCTCCTCACTAAATGTAAGCTCTTTGAGAGCAGCTATTTTTGTTTTGTTCAGCAATGTAATGATAGTGGCTAAGCTAGAATATGTAAGGTATTCAACTATTTGTTAAAAAGAATTTGCAGGCCCGGTGCAGTGGCTCACGCCTGTAATCCTAGCACTCGGGGAGGCCAAAGCAAGCGGATTGCTCAAGGTCAGGAGTTCAAAACCAGCCTGAGCGAGACCCCGTCTCTACCAAAAATAGAAAGAAATTAATTGACCAACTAAAAACATATATAGAGAAAATTAGCCGGGCATAGTGGCACATGCCTGTAGTCCCAGCTACTCGGGAGACTGAGGCAGAAGGATTGCTTGAGCCCAGGAGTTTGAGGTTGCTGTGAGCTAGGCTGACGCCATAGCATTCACTCTAGCCTGGGCAACAAAGTGAGACTCTGTTTCAAAAAAAACCCAAAAAAACAAAAAGAACTTGCAAATGTATTATCATAGGTGTTTCTTCACATGGCTGCCTTCTGTCCTGGTGAGGAAGGGCCAAACTCATCTCTGAAGATTCTCCTTCTCCTCTTTTTGTGTGTGGGTCACCGAATCCTACCTGTCCTTCAAGCGACAGTCAACGAATTGTTCTAAGGTAGTAATTACACACAAGACATATGTTTCAGCAAACAAATCAACTTCCAAAAAAAGCAATGTGTCACCCATCTTCATATATGAGGCTTTCGTTGCCATTCATCAAAAATTAAACCTATTCATTCATACTAAATCACTCCACACTGTCATAATTGCACATTTTTCATAATATCTGTTACAATGGAATGATTCAGTAATCTTACTAGCATAATTGGCTTAGCTAGACGCATTTTGGCAGACCTGAAATTCTGGAAAGGCTGTTATGAATCCTTTCCAAGGATGTGAATTTCCTCCTGAGCAGTAGCATCAGGAAGATCTTCACTGTCTTTTCATTTTTGCGTCCATCCTTTCAACTCATTCATCCATTCAAAAATGATTATACATCAACTTTGCAGAAAATCTTTTTCACTGCCCGACGCCTAAGAAATTTTTCTTATTCAGAAGACTAGATTATCTCCACAAATGTAGGTCTTGTTCTACCAATATACCCAGCAAACTAAAACCATGACCTACAATAAGAGCTCAAAAAAGTTCTGTTCTCTTATTGCTTATTTCCAAATGCATAATCTGATGAAAGTCAATGTACACAGGCCTATCAGAGACCTCTTTGGTCAATCTAACTGGGCCAGAGCCAGGTGGCTTGTTTAGATCACTGTGGTAGGCAGAATCCTAAATTGGCTCTCCAGGATGTCCCACTCCCAGAAAGGGAATGGGGACCTCAGTACAACAATGCAAAGATTTGAATTCTGCCAACAAACTCAATGAGCTTAGAAGTAGATTCTTGCCCTAGAGACTCCAAATAATAGCCCAGCCTGGCTCTCAGCTTGATTTCAGCTATGTGAGACCCTAAGCAAAGAATTCGTCAAGTCTGCCCAGATTTTTGCTGCAGAACTGTGAGGTAACAAATAGATGTGATAATCATTCTGTTCTAGAAAGTGTTTCTTTGCAAAGACCAAATCCTACAATTACAGTAGGTTTTTTACTAATTCATTTACTATCATGTAAGCCCTCCCTGCTTTTCCATTTCCTGAATTTCTGCTTTCCATGGAATACTGTCCAGGAAAGGATTCCACCTCAAATTAGTTTTTACATTTGAAAACAAGTTAACGTACATAAAAAAAAATCTTCTTTGGACAGTGTCTAGCTCATGCTACTACCCTTTTATAATCAACCCACATCCTGAATCAAGGACAAGAGATGAAACAAAAAATAAAAAAATTATTATAATCAACCCAAAGATAAGTCAAGGGATAAACTCACCAATAACCAAAAGGTCCACATCCATGCAAATAAATTTGTAAAACTAAAAAAAGTACAACTGAAATAAAATTAGATATTGAAAGTGCAAATCTCTTATGAGAACTTACTGTCTTAACATAGAAAACAATCAAGTAATTATGTACACTGAGTCAGAAAATTATTTTAATAGTTACAAAACTTTTTTTTTATAGAATCAGTATAAAATAGCAGTTGATTTCTTCATAATTATCAGAATTATTTGTACTGAGGTCTTGGCTAAGTGGGGCTGAAATCAACAAAAGGTCTTGGACTGTTGGCTCAGAAATCATCCTAGGAAGCCCACCCTGTTGATATCTGTCATGCTTAGCTCTTATGAGATGACCCGGTCCTTTAAATAAAAAGTATCTTTCTTTCTTTATTCACTCTTTGGAGGCTTGAAGTGAATTCGGCAGCGTTCATTAAACACCTAAAATATTTAAACAGAAACAAAAGTCACTAAGTCACTCTGTATAAAGCAGGCCTGGAACTAAATTCAATGTGGCGTGCATCAGAAGGACATTATGTCTGTCCCAGGTCAACAGATCCAGGAAACAGAAGAGTTTCCTCATCAGTTATCAGGTGCTGAGTACGTAAGAGGCCTTGATTTACGTTTATAAGATAATTTAATATTTTAATAAAATTAAGTTATTCAAGGAAAAATCATCAAGAGCTAGTTAATTTAGTAACTAATAAACATCAGTTCCATATTCTGGACATATCTTGGACAATTAGATAAAAATACCTAAAATACACTAAAGATAAACCTTTTCCTTCTTTTTTAAGAATAGATTTTGTTATTTAAATATTTGTTGTCCTTTTCTAAATTGTGTCAGATCCTTTTCACAAGTAGGTATACTTGCCAGGTAGATCAATTTTTTGCGAAACTGTATGAATTTATTAATTTTTTGTTCTACTTACCTTGCTTCTAAAAATCTAAACAAATAATAAAACGTAAATGCTTAAAATTCTTTTTAAAGCCTCATTTTCTGTTAAGTGGATAAATCATATTTTCTTTAAAACTAATATCAAATCTGAAACAGTTCGCTCTTCCCACTACATTTTTCATATATAACCTCTACCCTTGGTTTTCAAGCCAGATGTTCATTTGTACCCCTCCCTCACTCAATCCCAAGAATAACTCAATAACTAAATGTTTTTCAATATGTGACTGTGTTAAAGAAAAATTTGGTACAGCTATTCAATGAAATACCTATGCAAGCTTAAAAAAGAATAAGGAAGCTTTTATGTTTTGATTTGAAAAGATCTCCAGCATATATTAAAGGAAAAAAACAAAGTGTGCACAGCATAGTTCCATTTGTGTAATAAAGGCAGAAAAATACATACACACATAAAACTAGAAAAGTTACAAATATCTGAAAGCATATACCACCCTTTCAGAGAAAAAAGTGAAAAGGACAGGAGACAGCTGAAGGAAAGGGGTGGGAGGCAGAATTTTTACTGTATATCCTTTAATATTTAAAAAATTTTTGAATCATATATCTAAAAATTTTTAGTGTCCAATTTAAAATATTCTAAAATCGAAAAGAATTTCTTCACAGAATTTACCCCCATACAGACTACCTTGATGTAAAGAATAAATCATTTTTAAATTACTTATGTTGGCTGTTGTTAACTATCATAAAAATAAAAGAAAAATCTACACAGGGAGCTTCTAAGGTACTGGCATTATTCAATTTCTTAAGCTGGGGGTCAGATACATGTATGTTCATTTTAATAATATTCTTTAAATTCTACATGTTACATACTCTTTGGTGTATGTGCCTCACAATTAAAAGAAAACATGTTAGAAATTATGTAGACTCTTTCTGGCCTTTCATCTTATAGCTCATCTCACTCCAGTTTCCAGTCCTGATATTTCCCTGAAATTCCCAATGTTCAGACCAGACGAGGCCTCAGATTAGTGGCTTTGAAACACTAGAGTTGGGATGATATATACAACCTGGCTGAGCCTCTCCAAATCTTTATCCTAAATGATTTCCTATCCGATCCACTTCTACTGGCCTACTACACCACAGCTGCATTTTCTTCTTTTTAAAACAGGCAAGGAGCCTCATTTTCTGTTGAGTGGATAAAGCATATTTTCTTTAAAACTAATATCAAATCTGAAACAGTTCACTCTCCCCACTACATTTTTCATATATCATAACCTATACCCTTGGTTTTCAAGCCAGATGTTCATTTGTACCTCTCCTTCACCCAATCCCCAAGAGTAAATATTATTAATGTTTCTCCAGAGAATATAAACGTACAAATACTGCCAAAATCTTCCAAGTGGCAAACACCTTATCACATTGGTAGAAAGGGCAGGAATAGGAAATCTTGGCAAAGAGGATGAGATAAAGAAATGTGATAAAGCAAAGAAAGTCAATTTGTATTTTGCAATTTATTCATGTCTCAGCAAGTTGGTACATTCTGTTTTTGGTTTAGTTAACCTCTCTCTTAAAAGCATATGATTTAATACCCCTTCATTAAATTCAAAAAATCAAACAAAATTTTCAGTTCATCTTCTCAGATTTAATAGATTTGGGCCCTTTAGAAATATTATAGATGAGGAGTTTTAGAGAGGGGTAAATGGATATACTTTTACAGAAAACTAAAGTCAGAGTTTTGTGATTTTTGACTACATGTAAAGTACTGGGATCTGGTCCCCTAATCTAGTTCCTAATCAGAACTATGCAGTGGTATTAAGGAGCATATGAATCTATGAGCAATAAAAGTTCCCCCCCATCAGATACCAGGAAAGTTATGTACAATAAAAAGTTTCATGATCAGATACATTAGAAGACAGGCAACTGTAAAGGGTAGCTAATGATATGAAAATTTATGAAAAATACCTCAGCTCAAAAGGCTAATTTTAACAAATAACCTCCTTAAAGGTCCTATACATCAAATACGCCTGTAATTAGTATTAGGAGATAAAAGAATATCTCTAAGTCTGTTATGATAGCAGGTCATACAATTCTACCATATGCTTGTAAAGCTCTTTTTTTTTTTTGACAGATACAGCGTCTCACTTTGTAATCCAGGCTGGAGTGCAGTGGCAAGATCACAGCTCACTGTAGCCTTGAACTCCTGGGCTCAAGAAATCCTCCCACCTCAGCCTCCTCAGTAGCTAGGACTATAGGTGTGGGCCACACCATGCCCTGCTAATTTTTTTTTTATTTGTTAAAGATAGGGTCTCGCTATGTTGCACAGGCTATTCTCAAACTCCTGGCCTCAAGTGATCCTCCTTTCTTGGCCTCCCAAAGTGCTGGGATTACAGGTGTGAGCCACTGTGCCTGGCTGATTTTTAGAAAATGGCTCAATTTAAACACTAACTGCAAGCCCCCCTACAACAACCAAAAAAAGGTTAAAACCCTGAGTTGTAAATGTAAATGAGTGATCTCTATTCTCCTATTTTCCTTAGAGCCTTAAGGTGTTCTTTGCTCTTTCTCCCTTGGCTTCCCTTTGGTAGTTCAGTTTCCCTGCAACTTCTTTCTAAGAACCAACATTATTTTATACCTTCCAGCTCCTGTCATTTACTACTTCTTCAACATTCAGTTCCGATTGCATCCATTTCAACTGCAAGAAAGAAAAAAAAAATTAAAGTTATGAAATTTAAAGAACTAAAACCACACTCTTTTCCCAAGAAAATCTGCTGCTGCTTTTGTATTCTTTATCTGTTAATGGTAGATTTTTGAACCTTCTTTGACACAGCTCACTCTCCCTATATCTAATCAATTGTGAAACTTTTATAACAGTGGCTCTCAACCTTTGCTGCATATTATTAATCTAATCAACCTGAGAGCTTTAAAAAAAAATTCCAATGCCCAGTCAGTTCACAGAAGACATACATATGGACCATAAACATATAAAACAAAATGCTCAATTCTTCAGGAATAGGCTTTAAAAAAAAAGCTCAATCTTACTCATGTATAAAGAAATTAATATTAAGTCATAGTATGACAAAATGAAAAAGTCTGATATAATCTAATTTAGTGAAGGTGTGGGAAAAGATATACTCATACACATTCTTAGTAAGAGTATAAATTGTTGTAACTTGTATGGAGGGCAATTTGGTTAGACTCATCAAACATGTACATTCACACGTCCTTAAACCCAACAATTCCAGTTCTGGAAATTCATTATACAACTACAGACTTGCAAAGATAGTACAGAGGAATAAAAAAAAAAAAGACAAGGAGGTAGAAACCTGATTTGGATAGAGAATTAAGAAAAACGACTCAGGAAGTAAAACGGAGAGGAAAGGGACTATACAAGGCCCAAGTGATCTAGAAAGGTATGAGTTTCCCACATCTTGACCTACAACCAGAGGTCTGAGGCTAAAAATGCTGTCTTTCCAACTTTCTTTCTTTTTTTTTTTGAGACAGAGTCTCCCTTTGTTGTCCAGGCTAGAGTGAGTGCCGTGGCGTCAGCCTAGCTCACAGCAACCTCAAACTCCTGGGCTCAAGCGATCCTAATGCCTCAGCCTCCCAAGTAGCTGGGACTACAGGCATGTGCCACCATGCCCGGCTAATTTTTTATATATATATCAGTTGGCCAATTAATTTCTATTTCTAGTAGAGACGGGGTCTCCCTCTTGCTCAGGCTGGTTTTGAACTCCTGACCTCGAGCAATCCGCCCGCCTCGGCCTCCCAGAGAGCTAGGATTACAGGCGTGAGCCACCACGCCCGGCCCCAACTTTCTTTATAACTGTCAACCTAATTACTGCACAGAAAAGTAGCCAATTTCATTGCCACGACCCATAGTACTCCTAGTCACATCTGGTCAGAGGACTTGAAAGAAGCTAGCTAGTTTCAGGAACAGGGCTTAAATGCTCAAAAAATGAGAAGAATAAAGCATGAACTACAAGGTTGAGGCAGCAAAGAGGTTAAAACCAGAATGTTTTCCTGAGGCCACAATCAGAAACCCAGACCAGATTTGGGAACAAAATGCCAGAGAGCTTGACAAGATCTGGGCAACATGAGTCTGACACCCAGGCCAAAGATCCTGACCAATCAGGAGTGTAGCTCTGGCAAGTTTGAGAAATGTGCATGCAACACTAATAAAAATGGAACTTGGTACTGATCCAATGGCTCCTTGCAAATTGCCTTCCTAGATTCAGAACTGGTATCAGAGCACAGTCAGGTACACATAGCTGGAACTGTGGAATGAGAGAAGGACTGCATATCTGACAATTGGTCCTATATTGTGGAGTAATAACAAGCCTGAAGAAGCCCACCAAGCAACTTAAGTTTGACATTTTAATCAGCCATACAGAGCAAAATCATCAAAGCTTCACTACTCCCATCAAAGTGTCAACTCACTGCCAAAGAAATAACAACTTTGGGCCGGGCGTGGTGGCTCATGCCTGTAGTCCCAGCTACTTGGGAGGCTGAGGCAGGAGGATTGCCTGAGGCCAGGAGTTTGAGGTTGCTGTGAGCTAAGCTGATGCCAGGACACTCCAGCACAGGCAACAGAGTGAGACTCTGTCTCAAAAAAAAAAAAGGAAATAACTTCAGTTCAATAGCAGGGTGTGACAACATGTCACTAAGACAGTCTTCATAATAACTCTCTAATATTTAAAGAGATGCCATGGGGAAAGGGGTTTAGACTTATCCTGTGGTGCTCCAGAGAGAAGATTAAGGAGTAGTATATATACATTACATGGGGGCAGATTATTGCAATATATAAGAAAAATCTTTGAATAATTAGACCATCAAAAAAAGAGAAGACACTGAATCCTCTCCCCACAATATCCTGCTCTTAAACAATGGTTAAAACTTCATTAAACAAAGGGTAGAAGCCACTGGTTGGTGATATCATAAAGACAATTAATGTAACACATATGGAGTCACAGAGACTCAAAAGGGAAAGGAACTGCTACTTTGTAACAGCCAATATGCTAGCTCTCACATATATTATGCAATCTTATCCTCACCAAAAGAAAAAAGAAAACATAAGAAGTTACTAAGCATCAACCCCATTTTATAGACTGAAAATCAGAAGTTTCAGAGCAATTTATTTACAAGGTTACAAAGTCACCAAGGTATATAGGATTTATTGCCTTAGAGCTGTCTGCCTTTATAAACCATGATTTTTCATATTCTAGAACACTGGAGATATTACAGCCAACTTCTAATACAATTTCATCAGTGGCATCAATAAACTGCCACCTCTAAGATAGTTGTTTTTGAGGCTCTGAGTCTTCAACAGGTAAATTTCCTCTCAATGGCCACTAATAGGTGATAGCAGTTACAGAGTTCCAGCAAGGAATGTACTTTTTTTGAGTTAAAGATTCAGGTAAAGAACTGAAGATTTTTAGATCTCTGTATCTAAATAAAGTATGCTCACTAAACTAAGTGGAATTTGACTATTAGTCACAACTTAATTTAAAGAAACTGACTGAATCCAGAGTCAGAAGAAATGGGTTAGAGTCCAAGTTCTACCACTTATTAGTTCATGAATATGGGAATCTCAGTTAGTATTTCTGAGTCTCAGTTTCCTATAATGGAAAATGAACAGGTAGAGCTGAAATATCTATAACAGCTCTCTCTTGATTCCATAATCTTCACGGCACATTTCCCATTTCCTTTTTTGCTTACATACTACTGATGGTTATCCCCTAGCTCTATGTATTATAAGGCCAGAAAGCAAACCTCACACAGCTCTCTGATTGGTTTCTAAAACCTTCCTTGCAGTGGTCCTGGTGATTCTCTCTGGGATCTAAAGGGACAGGGGAAGATGTGAGGCCTGAGCAACTTGTGTGACACTCCCAAATACTCAGTGGTTTAGAGCCTTGAACTTTGCTCTTCACTAACAAGAGTCACTCTATTGTGTTGAACTTAATTTGCAAACAGCATTTTTTTGGTTTATGATTTAACAGCCCTGCCCTATAGTTTCCTTTGTCAACATCTTCAAGAGTCTGTTGAAATACAAAATCCAAAATCACCTAGACTTTAATCAGTTTTAAATCATCTATCTATAAGCCTTCATGAACATAGAGGGTAGGGTAAGATGAACATGATCACATAAATTCACTGTCTGAGGAATCCGCCAGTGCCTGATACGGTAGTCACAATCTGTAGTCATGAACAAAGATAGCAGCAAAGACAGTGACTGGATCCAGTGAGACATCCTGAATCGGTGGAATGACGAGAAAGTGCTGCAACTTGCCTATGCACCTGTGTACATGGAAAGGTTTTTCTTTTCTTTTCTACCAAAGGCTTTCGAGAGATGACAAGGTCCCCTTTTCACAGTTTGGCTATATCTACTAATCTAAGGGCAAACTTGACAACTACTCAGTATGAAAAGCATGACTTCATTCCACAAGGATCTGTAAGTCACCTATTGTGCCAACTTAAAATATGAACATGATTTTGCTAATTGTACAGTGATCATGTAAGAAAAAAATCCCTGTCTTAGGAAATAACTAATGAATTTAGGGGTAAAAATGGTACAATGTCTCCAACACACTCTCAAAACAGTTCAGGGGGAAAAAATGTTTATGCACGTGGGGAGAGGGGGAGAGGGAGGGTAGAGAGAATGAATTGTTAGGTATGTGGGACAAAATATGAACAATAAGTGAATATAGGTAAAGGGTACATGGAAGTTCTTTGTGCTGTTCCTCCAACTTTTTTGTAAGTTTGAAATTATACAAAACAAAGAGTTCCCTCTAAGAGTGCCCTAACAAAAAGACGGCAACGCATTGCATATAATAAAATATGCTGTATATTTCAATTGTTTTGTTGACACATCACAGACAAGGGCTACAAAGAAACAGTTCTGCTGCATTAACTAGATTCTGAGGTTCACACTGTCTGCATTACAGTTGTCTTGGGAAAATGAAACTTCCTCTGATACATCCCAGGTGAGTACTTGCTGTTTTTTTAAAAGTGAAAACACTGCAGGGAGGGGGGATGAAGTGGACAAAAGGCATGTCCAAAAAAGGCCAAAGACCCATAACAACTTTTACACAGTAGGGTAATAAATTATAATGAGGTACTAGTGAATCTGGTTATATTTAAATAGTACTACATTTTTATGGCTGAAGAGAGTAATATCCTAAAGCTAAATAGTCTGTATTATATTACAGCAGATTTCTACAGAATGAAATCAGAAATAAATATTTTCAAACTCTAAATATATTAAGAAATGTTTCTTCTCAAGTTAAGCCTCAAAAGGCAGATACCATACAGATGTGATTACCCTAGAACTTCTGATGTGGTGCTGGTCTGTACTGAGCCTTCAATAGAGGGGGGAAAAAAGGAATGAATATAAAATTACATGCTTATTTTAGCTAAAGCTGCTACACTGTATCTGTTTATGAAATACACATTAATTTATCAACTAACATCTAAATGTAATAAAATAAAGCCCAATAAAAATGAAGCATTAACCTCCTGGTTATTTTTTTTTAAATAACCATTACTTATTCCAAAATTTTCATATTAAAAACTGCCTTTATTTTGAAGGCTACAATTAAATAAACTTTGCCTGAGAAATGTCAATTCTGTTCAACTTACCTTTGTCTGTTCTTTTCTAAGTTGCTTTAATAACGTTAAATCGTCCAAATTCTTTTCTCTCTCTTCTCGAAGGTTTTTTACTACTGCTGAGGTCTGGGCTATACAACTTTTTATGACTCTGTCCCTACTGGCATGAGCTGCCATCAACTAAAAGAACAAAGGAATGAAAAGGGGGGAAAAACACATGGATTTATTACATTTTAGTGTTTTCTTAAAAAAATCCTCATTTTGATACTACAGAAATTTAATATTTTGTAAAACATTGTTAAAAATTGAATCCATGGAAGGGAAGACTACATCAGCTAAATCATCTAAAAACAGATAACAGGAAGCACCTCTGAGGGGAGAGGGTATGAGGTCCTAGACTGTTTTCTTCCTCAATAGGTTCTCAGTATTTCCTGCTCCTTTCTGCCTGCATTCCCCCTGCTGGGCCTTTCATTGCAGTTTCCTTTACCCCACATCACTGTCTTATTCCATCCACATGTTCCTCTACCCTATACCCACCTTCACACACCTCTGAGCCTTTTATTGCAATTCTTCCTCTTTTTTTGTCCTTTCATAATTTTTTCAGTCTCATGTTGTCAACAAGTGAAAGAAATTATAAATTAAGCAACCTAAATAAGATCTTACTTACCTATGTAAGACAAAGCCTTTTCAAGATCATTAAGTATAAGTACTGATAAGGGGAACTTACATATGAAGCACAGTGGTTGCATGAATTGTTGTGCACTGATCGAAAGCAAGGATATCTGACAGGATGACTCTTTAATAACCTCCATCTTAATGTAATAAAGCTAATAAAAAACAGTTCTTAACGATTTTCTGTCTTGGGTAAGATGGTCATGTTTCAAACACACTCCATGATCACAGCCAAATTTTGATGATACTGCTAAATTTTGCATTTGTAAATCACTGTTTCAAGTTCATAGACCTTTTTATTGTCCAGTATTGATTTTTATGTTAATCATAGGAATAAACAATGTAAAGCTAAAAAAATTTCACAGATTGAAGGGAATATGCTCTAATAAGGGGATCTCATTGAAATTATTTTACTTTTACCATGAGTATCCTTTTGAGATTTGGAATTTCTAAAATTAGTGCTTCATAATAACTTTACTGATCATCTCCTACGAAGAAGTGTTATCACCAGAAAATGCAAATATTCCTTCATCAACTACAGAAGGAAGCTGGGTCAGGGACTAAAGCCAGGGTGACTAGGAGCAATGTGAACGTTTCCAGAGTTCTACTTCTTGACTGAGCCAATACTTAAAGGAACTCAGTGGTACTTATTGGCATGGGTACTCTGTTGCAGGCCTGATACCTGGTGCAAAGCTACTTGATAAACTATCCTTTACATGATATACATGTTACTGGATCCCTCTAGGAGGCAGATACAAAGAAAAACCCAAACACATACACAAGGATATCCAAAACAGAGAGGTTCCAAATTTAGTATGCGAGGTTATCCTGATTCAACAAAGGATTAAAATATAATAATAATGATAGTAGTAACAGCAGACATTTATATGCAAAACACTTAGTATAGGCAAGCACTTTATATTAACTCAATCCTCTAACAATCCTATGAACTAGGTACTATTATTATACCACTTTATAAATAAGGAAACTGAGGCAAAGAAGTTATATAACATGTTCAAGGTCACCCAGCTAAAAAGTACCATAGGTGGGGTTTATTCTAGATCTGGAATCCATGTTGTTAATCACTGCACTATAAACCTCTAGGTTAACTGGAAAATTACAAATTGAAACAACTGAATGAACTATAGAGATTATATCAGCAGTGAGGTAAGAAGGGGGTATCAGTAAAGTGACCATAAATTCTAGTTCTTTAACCAGAGACACTCAAAGAAACTAAGTGAAGTGTCAAAGAACCTCATAGTAAATTAGGACTTAGACCCATATTACCTACTCCCAATACTGGATTCTACTCAATAAAGTCCACAATTTTGCAATTTTCTCAAGCTACAGGACTTACCTGATCATTCAATAAAATAACATACATACTTTAATATAAAAGCACTATAAAAATACCAGTAGTTAATGCTCTGAATTGATATGAATAAGCTTATCTAAAATGGATTTGGGAAAGGCACTTTAGGTTTCAAATAATGTTTTATTTATATGACCATGAATCCAAATAGTAACCTTGTGGTAGAATTTAAAATAGCAAGTATCATTTGGACTTTCAAGTTAATGAATGGACATAAATAAATAAACTGTAACAAATATTTAACTGTATTGTTATTTCCTTCGGCTTTTGGAAATTAGAAAGAGAAATAAAGGCAATAAAAAATTATATATTTGAGAAACCAAAGCCTCAGGAAAGGACATTTTATTTGTGGCTTTCCTTCCCTCTCAACTGCTAAATGCTTCTTTTCTCCTTCCTGAGGAAGGGGAAAAAAGAAGATATAATATATATAAAAGGTGTGAAGTGTTTTAATTCTTCCATATATTAGCTGTCTGGCTTTTTCGGGTTTATTTACTCAAAGTCCTTGCTCTTGTTACTGTTTTACTTTGCTGTTTGTTTCACTCCCCTCTTATTCTTTTGTGCAGAAGGTCTCTGTAAGTTAAAGTATGCAAACGCAGAGGCCAAAAAAATGGCTGCTCCATTTCTTTAGAACTATCTCTTCACAGATTAGTGCATAAGATCACACAGTTTCTTTAGTTTGCAGAAACCAGATCGAAGCTTATATACATCCTCAGATGTGGGCAAGGAAACATGAAGATGTCATTCTTTTATTCACAGTTTAGTTACATGATCATTGATTTCTTATTCTGCCTGCAAAGAGAGACATAAAAGAAGTGAAAGAGAGATTCAAAAGATACACTTACAGACTCATAAAGTTGTTTACAGGTTTGGCCGGCATCAATTTTCCCTGCAAAGGAAGCTGTTGGAACCGTAGTGTTTAATTCATGTACTATTCTGTCATCAATTGTCCTCATCACCTTGAGTAATTCCTATATATATTTAAAATAAAAGAATATAACCCGAATGGAAAGTTAAGTAACAAAAAATAAGTTTTTAAGCAAAAAACAAAGCTCTTGGATATTTCACAACACTTTAAGTTAGACCAAGCCAAATATAGTACAACCATAAGAAAATCTTTATTATATAAGGATGATAGGTAGGTTCAGTAATAGTAATTCTAATAGTGGGCACCAACTCTGCCTCCTTGGCTCAACTGTGATTGTCTTGAGGGTTAGGACTATCTTACTCATACTTAAATCCAATTGCTGGCATCGTGCTTAGGAAACAGTGCATGCTCTTTCCATCTCCAGCACACAGCCAATAGAGTTCTATTGAACTTGACTACCACAGATTTTCCATCATAATCCAGTGTAAGGATCCAGCTTGCTCTATTCCCTCTTTACCTGTCATTATAAAAGATGCTAGTAGAAAACTTCTGGAAAGATATGCAAGAAACTATTAGTAGTAGTTAACTTGCAAAAAGTAATCTATACCCTCTTAGGCTTTTAGCCTTTTAGTTTTTTACTACAATCATGTATCATTTTTTAGATAAAAACAAGTAAAACAAAACATACTGCTAGAGAAGCAATCAAAGCTCTTCATGGCTTTCATATTCACAGCACGAAATCAGTTTTACCCTTGGTAACCCTGCACACATCTCCCAAGGATATCCTCTTTCTCAGAAAGTCTCCAACTCTCAAAAAACCAACCAAAAGAAAAATACCAAAAGGGCAGGGAACTTAGAAAGACTGGTGATAATGACCCACCCCGTATAGTCCCTCCTCCCCACATTTGGATTAGCACACCACTTCTCCCTTGTCACTAGAGAAGGCTGAGAATCACCTACATTCCGTCTTCAGATGTTTCCAGCAATACATCTTCTTTTTCTTGTTTCTCAAATTTACAAAAAACCCAAACATTAACAAAAAAACCATGACTACTGAAAAATCAAAGAAAACAGAATTACAAACTATTAGGAATATACTTTTTTGAAAACATCCAAGTTAACATTCAATATACGTATTAAAAGAACTGCTTGATTCTCTCTCTCTCAACATACCATCCTACTTCTTTCCTTTGCCAAACTTAAATCCCTGACTGCAACCAACTCCTTCATATCTTTCCTTATCCATTTGTTAAAATAAAAACTTTTACTGTGATTCAAGTATTACTTTCATTTTAGAAAAATTATAAGAAAATTTTAAAGAAAATAAAAATTATCCATAGTTGGCTGGGTGCGGTGGCTCATGTCTGTAATCCTAGCACTCTGGGAGGGCGAGGCAGGCGAATTGCTCAAGGTCAGGAGTTCAAAACCAGCCTGACCAAGAGTGAGATCCCGTCTCTACTAAAAATAGAAAGAAATGGACAACTAAAAATATATAGAAAAAATTAGCCGGGCATGGGAGCACATGCCTGTAGTCCCAGCTACTCTGGAGGCTGAGGTAGAAGGATCGCTTGAGCCCAGGAGTTTGAAGTTGCTGTGAGCTAGGCTGACGCCAAGGCACTCTAACTAACCCAGGCAACAGAGTGAGACTCTGCCTCAAAAAAAAAAAAAAAAAAAAATTATCCATAGTTAACTATTGTCAATATTTTAACATGTCCCTTTGGTCTTTTTTCCTACATATATCTATGAATATTTTTTATAAAATTTAGGTACTTTGTAACATTATAAAGTCCTGCTTTATGACATCATACTATGAGCATTTTGCCCTTGTTAATAAAAATGCCTTGAAGACAGTTTTACTAGTTGCATAAATATTCTTTCCTGTGGAGGCACAACTTATCTGACCACTTCCCTACTAGGCCTGGAAATAATGCCACTGAAGCAACTTATAAAGTAGCTTATATACAGGGGTGGGTGGTGGGTGGGGGAGCCATTCCCATTCAGTGATGTAGAAATTGTGAAAGAATGCATTGTTGAAGTCGTAGGATGCTTAGACCCTGATAACATTTCAAAGTACAAACAACTGCCTCTTTTAAGGAGAATCATCACTGATCGGCAGTATGAATTAGCCTTCAACAGAACTTCATGTAATACTTCAAAAGGAAAATATGTATTATTCAATCGCTTTGGATGAATCAGCTCATGCTATTGACTTGAAGCAGGTTTTATACTTCATTTGGGTCATAACATAAAATTTTCTTTGCTACAAAGTTACTTGCTTTGGGCACTCTTGGGAACAGAACAACTTTCAAGATAAATGTCATGAAGTTAGATTGAATTTGGTAAATTTAGTGAGTGTATGTACAAGACGGTGCACCTTCCATGACAGGAAACCATGAAGGGTTTATTGCACAGATAAAAAAGTATTAACAGATCCAGATGCTTTCATTTCTTTTCATTGTATCTTGGATCAGCAAAATATCTGTGCTAAAGCTACTATTTTAAGTGACACTTTGCAACAAGTTGCAAGTATTAACTATTTGTGTGCAAATATAACACAGCATCATTAGTTTCATAATATGCTTAAGTTGAACAATGAGGTATTCAGTGTGGATTTGCCATATCATTCTAAAGTGCATTAGTTATTGCATGGACAGGTCTAACATCAGAATTTTATCTCTGCTAGAACAGACAGTTAAATTTTATGAAGAACAGAATCAGCAATGTGAATTATTGAAACAAGATTTTCCTAGGAATGCAGCATTTCTGTGTGGTATCATGTCAAATCAAAACGATTTGAATATTTCTTTGCAAGGTAAAACTAAGTCTATATATGACATGTGGCAAAAAAATACAAGCATTTCAAAAAAGCTATCTTTTGTCAAAACAATTCTTCAAAAGGAAATTTTGGGTGAACATTTCTCCAATTAGGAAAGGTCATTGATGAGCAGGATAATATATGCGAATCATTTGAAGAATATGCAGCTGTTATAGACCTATTAATTAGAGAATACAATGAAAGGTTCACTGACTTTAAGAATCATGACATCACACTCAATTAGCATTTCAGCCTCACCTAGTTGATATCACCAAGGCACGTAAATAACTATAGATGAAATTGATTGAGCTCTCAATAGATGACATTTTAAAGTAATTGATGCTAAGAGAGACCCAACTAAAACATGGAAAAATGCAGAATACCCATGCCTTCAGCAACATGCCCAAAAAATTCTTTCTTGTTTTTCAACCACTTATTGCTGCGAATCTACATTCTCCTACCAAATCAAGATGCTCTTAAGGTCACAAATGACTAGAGGATCAATTGAAACTGCAGATCTCCATGCTTCAACCAAATATTCAGATGCGTTCCAACAAAAAGCAGAAACAACGAAGCCATTAAAAGGTTAACTTTAACCTTATTCAGCCTGTGAAGATATTTTTCCTCTTGAAAGAAGTAAATTGATGAAGTAAAAAAAAGTTAACTTTAAAATTAACAAAGTTTTTTTTGAAATTATTAAGTATACAGTAGTTAGATTTTTACAATATAATGTACATTTTTAAGTGTATCTAATTGAAGTTTCTTGAATGCAGCCTTATTTGATTACAGCTAAATTAATCCAGCCTTCCAACATAAAAAGGTTCCCCACCCCTGATATAGACCATGGAAATGATTAAGGATTCTGTTCTACCAGCAACAGGGTTTTAAGCAAGGGATAACATTAATTTGTATCTAATGACAATAAGGCTTATTGTTAATTGTTATGGAATATAGTATTGTGTTAAAATTTTGTGATCTTTTGGAGATAAAGATGGAAATATTTACAGAAAAAAAGACTGATATTTGGGATGTACTTCAACATAACCAGTTTAAGGTGAGGCAAGTGGTAGTAATATATAGATGAAAAAAGAGTGGCCATGAATTGATTGCTGGAGTTGGGGGATGGGTTCATAGTGTATATGGTACCATCTCTCCTTTTGTGTATGCTTGGGATTTTGTAGAATAAAGCTGTTTTTTTTTTTAAAAAGTCCTGTTTTGGACTTGTTAAGTTTGAGATGCCTGTTAGATATGAGTAGAAAAGTAGAGTAAAAAGTTGAGTAATCCTAGCACTCTGGGAGGCCGAGGTAGGCGGATTATTTGACCTCAGGAGTTCGAAACCAGCCTGAGCAAGAGCGAGACCCCGTCTCTACTAAAAATAGAAAGAAATTAATTGGACAACTAAAAATTTAGAGAAAAAATTAGCCGAGCATGGTGGCGCATGCCTGTAGTCCCAGCCACTTGGGAAGCTGAGACAGAAGGATTGCTTGAGCCCAGGAGTTTGAGGTTGCTGTGAGCTAGGCTGATGCCAAGGCACTCTAGCCAGGGTAACAAGAGTGAGACTCTGCCTCCAAAAAAAAAAAGTTGAATATACCTGTGTGACACTGATCAAGGCTAGAGTTACATTAATGAACTGATGTTCCTTAAAGCCATGAAATTAGAAGAGATCACTGAAGGAGACTATAGGAAGTGAAGAAAGCCAATGATCAAGAAGGAATTCTAGTATCTAAAAGTACAAAAAAAGTCTATGATGTCACAGAAGTCAGGGGAAGAAAGGTTTAAAGGAGGAAATGGTCAATTGTGGTAAATGTTACTAAGTCAAGAATTATATGTACAAGAAATTAACTTTTAGACCTAGCAGAATGGAAATCATGGGTGACCTTAAAGTGAGTTATTTAAACAATGTTTAATGGATTGAAAAATTAATGTGGCTTAAGTGCAGATAGTAAGAGAAACCATGGTGTGAGTTGAGATCCACTACTACAGGTCATGTTACAGAATTTTAGTCTTTCCCCTAGCTTTGGGTAACCAATGAAGTGCTTTAAGTATGGTGGTGGGGTTACATGATCACAGTTGTGTTCTGAAATGATTACGTTAAGGTATAGAAATTGGACTGGAGAGGAATAAGAGTAGATGTAAAGAGATAAGTTAGGAGATTGGTACAACAATATAGGTGAAAGATTATGTAGTTTGACATTGCCTAGGGTTTTTATTGACTCTGAACTTTAACCAGTTTTGAGTTTGAACACCAGCTATACCTTAACCACTACAGCCAAATTCCCCTCCAATAAAACAATTTGGACATACCATTAAGTTCCTTGCACAGCAATGGGAATTTATCTGCATTAAATAGGTAATGAACCCATCAATTTTACAGTCTTACCAATGGAACCTATAAATGTGGATCAAATACAGTCATGTGTCACTCAATGATGGAGATACATTCTGAGAAATGCCTCATTAGATGATTCCGTTGTTGTGTGAGCATCATAGTGTAATCACACAAGCCTTACCACATACCTAGGCTATATAGCATATTGCTCCTAGACTACAAACTTGTATATCATGTTACTCTACTGCAGGCTGTAGGCTTCAGTATAATACAATGGTAAATATTTGTTATTTGTGAATGTAAACACAGAAAAGGTACAGTAAAAACATGGTATTATAATCTTATGGGACCACTGTAATATATGTGGTCTGTCACTGACCAAAATGTCATTATGTGGCACATGACTATATATTAGTTTTTCTCTATGTCTAGAGAATTATCAATACATGATCCAGAGCTTAGCTTTCAACGGGCAGACACTACCCACGTGAGGTTATTTAAATTAAACACAATTTGAAATTTATTAATAGTTCCTCAGTTGCACTAGCCACATTTCAAGTGTTCCAGAGCCATATGGTCCTAACATCTATCATATGTAGACAGCACAAATGTAAAACATTTCCACCATTACCAAAAGTCCTATTGGACAGTGTTATATTCTAGAAAATACAATAATAATCTCTAAACTGATAATGTACTTGTTCAGAGATTGCTGAGAACTGTAAGCTATTCTTAAATATTACAGAAAAGATTCCAGAAAAGCCAAAGACAAGAAAAAAAGGGAGGTAAGATGAGGAAGGGATTTCTTTCAAAACTGGAAAAGGGGAAGGAAAAGAACTATAAACCGCATCACCAGGTTCACAATTCTTTACAGGGAAAAAGTACCAAAGCTCTTAAGGCAATTCCAGAAGTTCTAGGCAAAAGGTCAGGTGGCCCTCACAGACTGAGAGCAAATGAAGGTGAGCGCAGGCCCAAAAATGTTACTGTTGAAGCATGTGGATCATTCATAGGAATTACTGATTACCTACCTGATGCCTAGATCCAATGGCACACTCTCCCCCCACTTTCTCACAAATTCACTAAGAAAATATACAAAAGACATCCCTGAACAGATATCACACACAATAAACTACAACACATGTCCACAGAGATAATACAAAAATACAGTTAAGAGG